TCTGCCTGCGCGCCTTCCCCCATAAGAGAATCCTTGCCCATCGCGGTACACTAGAACAAAAGCCCACGCCGCAATGTCATCATCAGCGTCCTTGACGGAACCGTCCGTAAACACATGAAGGAACGAAGGGGAACAAGGACGTTGTGGGCACAGTTCCAATGCCAAGCTAGCTTCTTCAGGTAATCCTGACAACTGCGATGCATCATAAACTGGGGGTGGCATGGGGTGGGCCCGAGCACAGTGCGTCACAGAATCCCGACCGGGAAACTTAACTCTGGTGCAAGGTCCTTGGACAGGCAGGGAAAATCCAGGTCCCTTGGACGCCAGGCCATCCAGCTGCTGCTGACTCGCGCCACTTCCAGCAGAACCTCCGCAGAGCGACATGACTAGTGACAAATCTGCACAACAAACGAAAAGATAAGAGAAACTGAACTTAGAGCTTAGGTAGGAGTTGCAGAGTTGCAAGGCCACTGTGAGAATAGAAAGATGGGCGGAAGTTTGCGCCAGAGCCATATGACCAAAAAGACCTATCTTGGATAATTGATCAGGATGAACCCGAAGAGGTGTACATGCGGTCACACCGCTATACTCGTGAGCATAATCAGGGTTGCTCGTCTGGCTGGCAAACATGACCCATAATGCACATTCGCAGAAGTGTATTAAGCATCGTGCCCACGGCCGATGCTGGCATTCACCTGTCGCATCCTGGGTCCCAAAGGTATGCTTCTCAGGCGTGCGCTTAATGCTACCCCCCCCCCCCCCCCCCCCCCCCCCCCCCCCGCATACCTCACCCCCCCCCCCCCCCCCCCCCCCCCCCCCACCCCACCCCCCACACACACACACCCCCACCCCCACCCCCCACCCCCCCCACCCCCACCCACCCCCACCGCATACCTCAGGCCCCCCCCCCCCCCCCCCCCCCCCCCCCCCCCTCCCCCCCCCCACACCACCACACCCCCCACACACACCACACACCACACCCCCACCCCCCACCCCCACCCCCCCACCCACCCCCCCCCCCACCCCCCACCCACCCCCCCCCCCCCCCCCCCCCCCCCCTCCCCCCCCCCCCCCCCCCCCCCCCCCACACACACACCCCACCCACCCACCCACCCCCCCACCCCAAATCCTTACACAGCAAACAGCGGATGCAGGGGCCCACCCACACGACCTTTCAACGTCGCTGGAGTTATAGTTGGTTCGGAGGTGAGAGAGGCACGAGGGATTCAAGGAGGACGGGGGAAGGCAAGACCATCCTAATTGCTCAAGCAATCGAAACTTGGAGCCCCTAAAACATACGTGCGATTGAAGTCCTAAGTCGCCTTGGCTCCTAGCTTCTCCTGTCCTGTCCCGAGGAGAGCGGCGGGAATGCAAATTGCATATGGTCGGGCTAAAATTAAAGATTGTCCACATCGAAGATAAGTTCCCATCTTCGCCTGGAGGGTGCCCAGGGCTCTCAACGTGGTTACCCGACATTGGAGCTCTCTGTGCGGCCCCCTGCGACTGAAGTGACATCTGCCCCCCCCTGCCCCTAAACCTCTTCGCCCGCCCCTCCCCCATGAACCGAGAGGCAGCGCGCAAGCGGCTGAATGCAAAGTGGGCACATGCGTCACGCAAAGCACTGAGCGGATGCGTGTGCTTTTTCCCTTGAAACGATGTGTGCCGATCAGCTGGGTCTGGCGCGGTGGCATGCGCGTGCGAGTCATACTTACAACTCGAGGTCAACACAATGCAATCGCAACAGGAACAGACAGGCCTGGCAAAATCGGGAATATCTAAAGCAAACTCAATGCAAAAATCGCGTGCCCCGTCAGAATAGGAGCTAGAGTCGGGGAGGAAACACGCGCACACAAGAGGTACCAACCCGTAACGATATCTGCGAACACTCTGAGGCACAAACTTGAGGATCCTCATGGAAGGAGAGACTCTTGGGAGTCTTGAACTCGGCCGAGCAAGTGCCTGCCCCTGTGAAACTCAAGCCCCTGCACGTTGGAGCTCGCGAGGGGGGCTCGGCACGGCGTCGTCTGCGCCTGCGGCGCAGGCAGCCTCGACCTGCGCAACTGCTGCTTCGATCTGGCTGTCTGACATCTGCGGTGGCTGGGCACTCTATCACTGGCGGCGAAGTGCACGAATTTGTTGGCGGCTGCAGCAGGGGATCCTCCTGGGAGGCTGCTCCCTGGAGGAAAGGCTGAGTCGGCGATATCGGATCCAAACAATCCAGCGCAGCCACCTGCTCTACTTCTTCTGGCACTGGCCTCATCACTGCTGCACTCTGAGCCTCGCGCTGGCTGGCTGAAATCGGAGTAGCATGTGGCCCATGTGAAATTGGCGTAGGCTGAGCGGGCGGTGGCGCGGGCGAGCGAGTCGATCCGCCTGGCTTCTCGACGCGCGAGCTGGGGCAGCGACCATGAGCTGGCGGCGTGACTTCGACGCTGGTCAAGCCCATGTTGGCGAAGGTCGCGGTCATCTCCTTCGCCGTGGCTGCGGGTGAGCCCCCCGTGGCTGGCATCGTTCCCGTCGGACCAGGCGTGGGTGCAACTGGCGTCGGTGTGACCGCTGGCGAAGACGTAGTCGGCTGTTCCCTGAGCTTGGCTCCTTCCACTGTTACAGGCATCGGCGGAGCAAACTCCGATGCCTGCGCAGGAAACCCCACGGCTGGGATACGCTGGGCACCGCTGAGCTTGAGCATGGCCTGGCCCATGCTGAGGATGGTGGTATCCTGACGCTGCTGAGTATTCAGAAGACCCTGTCTCATGTTGGTGAGCTGGCTTATTTGCCCATCAATCCTGTTGAGATCAGCACCTGGCGCAGGGTGCATCGGCGGCGGCGGCGGTGGCATGGTCAAGCCTTTGCAGTGGTTCTGCTGACACTTGGCTGGCATGGCTGCGGGCGGCTGGGGGGGAGGCTGCATGGCAGGCGGTGCGCCGAAGGGCGCCCATGTGCCTGCCCTGGTCGCATCCGGCGGTGGCGCAGTGACAAACTGCGGCGCCGCCATGCCTGGCCCTTGCCACTCGCCAGCAGCTCCATCCTCCTGCATGTCGTCGTCGTCGGTCTCGTAGTACTCCAGTGCTTTGACCTCGTTGATGTGTTGATTGACCATACCGAGCGCATATCCCACTTGTTTTTCTTCATCCACAATGAGAGCCATGCGCTCACGCAGCGATCTGAGTTTGTCAACAAGATTGTCTTTCCTGCTTTTGAGTTGGCCAAGCTGGGTTGATACTTTGGCTGTGAGCTGGATCATATACTTGTATATGCTGATCTCCTTGAGCAATTGATCCATGGGCCTGTTGGCGGCTTTGGCCGCGATGGCAACTCCCGCTAAGGCGTCTATCTGCTGATATATGCGATTCTTGAAAGCGCGCACCGCCTCGTGGTCGGCTGGGGCTGGAGGCTCCTCGAACACATGGGCAGCTGGACCAGCATTGACCAATTCAGCACGGGTGATCGGCATGATGCGAGACATGAAAATCTTGAGCGACTTGGGCCTTTGGGCGTCATCATCCTTACCCTTGCCCTTGCCCGTTTTGCCCTTCTCATGTCGTCCTCGAGAAGCACTACGGGGCCTAACAAGGGTCCAATCATGAGCAGAACCGTGGCTGCAGTTGCTGTCGACATGCATGTCACATAAGCACTTCCAATGATGGCCCTTGACAACTCTCTTGCAACGTACACAATTCCATGTCCTTCCTGGGCAGGGCCCCTCAGAGCGACGTGGGTGCCCCATCTGTCTAGAGTGGTGGCCTTTCAGAACTTGCTTTGCCTGGGCTAGTCGTAATAATACTCTGGCTCGCGGACGAACTGCTCTCTTTCGTCTGTGCCACGAGGGCTCGGGAAGCTGTCGTCGCCCCGTCGTGAGAAAGAGTTACTGTATGGGAACGATGTGTGAGTAAGCTCAATAAACAACGCGGAGAACACGCTTAAGTTCCAGGCTGCTCTACCTGGTCACACCCTGATGTACAGAAAAATATGGTGTTCACGAAGCCTTGGAGCCCAGATCTTCTTTCTCCTCCTCCTCCTCCTCCTCCTCCTCCTCCTCCTCCTCCTCCTCCTCCTCCTCTTTTCCTCCTCCTCCTCCTCCTCCTCCTCCTCCTCCTCTCCTCCTCCTCCTCCTCCTCATCATCATCATCATCATCCTCATCCTCATCCTCATCCTCACCCTTCTCCTCCTCCACCTTCTTCTCCCCTGCCCTCCACCCCCCTGCCCCCTCCCGCTCCCCCTCCATCCTCCCCCCCACCACCAGCACCAGCACCAGTACAACACCACCACCACCAGCCCACCACCACCGCACCAGCCACCACCACCACCACCATCACCACCACCACCACCACCACCACCACCACCACCACCACCACGACAACCACGCACACACGCACGCACGCACGCACGTGCACCACCACCCACTACGCACGCGCGCGCGGAGCCACAGGTCCGCTACGACACGCGTCCGCGGATAGAGAAAATCAGCGCCATGGTAAGGGATGGGAGGGAGGGGTAGGACGTCAGATATGACGCGAGCGCACCTAGCTTGATCCTCCCCCCTCCCCCCTCCCCCCTCCCCCCTCCCTCCGACGCGTTCGCCAAGCTGGCTCATCCCGATAGGACCTTCAAGCTGGGGCCACACCGCAATCCATGAGCGGAGGCGCGCTCGCCCGTCGGGAGCTTTCGGAAGGGCTCCCGGGGAGCAGGCCCCTGCTCGAGCCCAGGGGGCGTGTTAGCCCCCCCTGGGCTTTTTGACCGGACCAGCCTCCGCACGGCGGATCTCTGCCAGTGCTTCGGTCTGCACGCGGAGCCGGCCCGCGCCCTAAGGCAGGGCTGCCAGGGCCAGGGCCGAGGCCGCGAGGAGGCGCTCCTTCAGGGGGAGGCCCTGTCGCGATGGACACCCCGGGGACTCTCTCTCTCTCTCTCTTCTGTCCCCTCGTGGGCGTCCGATCCCTCCCCCCTCCCCCGTCCCTGCTCCCCTGCCCTCTCTTCCCGCGCCGTCCCCACCCGGCCGGGCCTGCCGCGGACGGAGGCGGCCCCGGACCTCCTGGCGGCGCTCTCCGCGGCGCCCGCGAGGCGGCCCTGCGGCGCGCTGTGAGCGCAGCCCATGGTGCGGCGAGTGCTGCCTTGTCGCGGTGACTTCCTGGAGGCCTCCCAGGCGGGGGCGATGCCGATGGGCTCGGAGGATCGCGCCGCATCGCATGCCCCCAGCGCCGTCCGCGATGCGTCGGGGCCGTCGGCATGGACAAAGTCGGACTCCACATCGAGCCGCATCGGCGATGCGTCGGCGATGCGGCGCGATGCTCCGACCCCATCTGCTTCGACTCCACTTGGGAGGCCCAGGATCGAAGACCTCCCTCCGTCGTGTCGCAAAAATCGTCGTTCGGGGTTCGTAGCTTTTCTGGCGCTTGTGTAAAGCATCCGGAGCTTTCCCGCCTCTGGGGGCGCCCCAGTCGTCCCGAACGGCCGCGGAGGCCCCTCACCAGGCTCCGGGGCCGTCGGGAAACGACTCAGGATGAGAAAGCGGTCCCAGAGAATCGGCACAGACTTTGGTCGGGCCTGTCCTCCTCCAGGGGGATTTTGAGCGAAAACTTAAAAATACCCCCCCAAAAAAATACCCTAAAAACTTGCCAAAAACAATTGAAAAATCGTCCCCGGACTATTTTTGAATATTCCCCCCGTGGAGGGACACACCCGACTGAAGCATAGACCTCTTGGGGGCCGCACGGTCGAAAAAAATCACAACGCCGGGGGCCTGGGCCTGACGGCGTGCGGGGAGGGGCTCTGCGCGTGGATCTTCTCCAGCTCGAGCCACCGAAACTGACGTGCAGGCCGCCGCCACGAGCGCCGCGCACACACACACACACACACATACACACACACACACACACAAACACACCCGTCGCACGCGGGCCCTGGCGGCCCGGATGCCAAAGGCCCGCAATCCCACGGGCCCTCCAGATTTCATAACTGACGAATTACCTACCAGGCCAGGCCAACCCAACCCGAGGACCCGAATTTGACCCGAATTTCGGGTTGGGGGGGGTACGGGTTCCATGAGTTTTTTCAGTGTTCCCCGACCCAACCCCCCACTGGAAATGGAGGGCAAAGTGAGGCCTTCGGGTTGGGTTGGGGTGGATGGGTGGTTGGTGAACAACAGTGGTGATCTCATTTGGGTGGGGGGTCTGATTGGAGCTGTCTTGGAGGGTTCCAGCGGGGTCTGGACAAACAGGCCGCCCTTTCACGGCTGGTCTGGGGGGGGGCTCAAACACTGCTCGTCTGGGAAGGTTGGGACCCCTTCCCTGTCATTGCGAAATCTGGGGTACGCGATCCCACGGGTAGGGCTCGATGCTTTCGGCGTCCTGGCGGAGGACGAGCAGGTCCGCGAAGCGCTCGCGGGTGACGGGGCCGCGGGGGGGGGGGGAGAGAGCGAGGGGCCGGCGGGCGCGATGCGCGCGGGGCACCTGCGCAGGGCCGCCAGCCTGGGGTCGCTGCCGCGAGGCCGCGGACACGAACACTCCCCTGCGACGCCGCGTATCTGTTTCGTAACGTCGGCCCTCGGAGATCTCAACCACTTCCCTGAGGCAGGTCTTTGGACGGCCCGCGACCTCCAGAGGCCGAAAAGTTTGACAAACCGGCCGTCACTGAGTTTTTGGGGCAGCGCACAGATCTGAGGGGTTGCTCCTCCCGCCCGCGACTCCGCGCGGATCGTGGGGGGCATCCCGGATTGAGAACAACAGATCGTCGGATGTCTGGGGACGTGACACGCGATAGACAAGAGACACGGGGGCCTCTGATGTTGCAGGTTCGACATGCTACTCAGACCCTGATTAGCGTGTTTTCCACCACCACCACCATAAGTTGGAGGGGGGGGTCCTCCTCCTCCTCCTCCTCCTCCTCCTCCTCCTCCTCCTCCTCCTCCTCCTCCTCCTCTTCGTCCTCCTCCTCCTCCTCGCCCTCCTCCTTCCCCCCTCCAACTTATGGTGGTGGTGGTGGACAACAGGCTCATCAGACCCGACTGCATCCTTCGACTGCAACGTGTGCGTGGACCAGTGGCACCGACATCGGGCAGGGCGTCGCCACATCGGGGGCGCCCTGCCACGGACGCCCCACAAGAGAAGCCGCAGGGCAAAAGGCCACTCCATGAGAAAGCGCGGCGGCGGGAGTTGAGGGGAGGTGACTTCTGCTGGGTGCCGTACGCTTCGAGCGAGCTGAAAATTCAAGCGCGATATTGTAAAGAATCTCAGGGTATTGTGCCGACGACAGGCGGGTCCGCTGGCCACTCTCGGACACTGTGCGCGGGCCCGCACGCAGGGGACGCATCTCTCAAAACCAACACCTCTCCCAGCCTCGGCGCGGGGGGCTCCCTCAGAGCGCGTGGCCTTTGGGGAGCACGTCCAGGATCTCCTGGAAGCTGGTGATGAACCAGTCCGCACCCGCCTTGATGTTCGGCCGCACGGTCACCCCGCCGTAGCCGACAAAGGCCGCCGCGGGCCCCTGCGTGCGCGCGTCCATGTCGGTGGCCCCGTCGCCGAACATGATCATGGTCTTGTAGCCGTGCTTGCGCTTCATCATGTTGAGAACCTTGGGCTTGCCGCCGGAGGCGGCCGTAGGGTTCTTCCGATCGAAGCCTGCGTACTGGCCCTCCTCGTCGAAGAGCACCTCGTTGGCGTACACCTTGTCCTGGGGGATGTGCAGTTCCAGCGCCAGAGGGTAGAGCATGTTCTTGAAGCCGCCCGAGACGAGGTAGACCTCGGTGCCCTGCTTGTGGAACATCTTCACGACCTCCTGAACACCCGGGGACCACAGGGGCACGCCCTCCTTGACGACGCACTCCTCCAGCCCGTCCCTGGTCATGCCGTGGTCGGCCATGAGCTGCAGCCTGTCGGCCATGGCGTCTTGGAACTTCACGTTTCCGTCCATGGCCTTGTGGGTCAGCGCGGCGATCTCCTTCATGACCCCGAAGCACTTGCCCATCAGATCGATGCCCTCCGTCTTCACCACCGTGCTGTCCACATCAAAGAAGACCGCGTCCGCCTTGAGCAGCAGTCCCTTGACGCGCTCGATGGCCTCGGGGGACCCCGGCTCCGGGTCGCTGCCCCCGAACAGGAAGGCCCGCGAGCCGAACCCCGCAGCGGCGAACCCGCCGATCAGGGTTAGCAGCACGGCGCGGCTGCGGCGAGGGGCGGCCATCGCTATGGGAGCTGCGCTGGAGAAATCAAAATGCCCTGGGCCAAAAACCGGCTGCCGGAAGGTGATGTGGGTCGGATCGGGCCTAAGGTGGGTGGACTAAAAGTGTCCACACGTGTCTCGCCAAGACCTTGAGTCATGAAAGTACGTCGGACCAACATGTGTCCCCCCCTCCCCTGAATTCAAAGTTGACGGGTTTAGGCGGTGGGCCAAAGGCCAGGGACAGAACGTGGACACCTCAACCTTGGGTCTGGGGGGAGGGGTGCGAAGCAAGGGCACTTCGCAGTTGTGGTTGTCATCATGGTGCATCGCCTTCGCCTTCCCGCCATGGGTGTGGACACTCTTTGCCCGGGCACCGTACAGTCGACCCGTATAAGAAGGATGCGTGGTAAGGATGCAAGGGCCTCGGAGGGCCACGTGAATCATTTTTTGAGTGAGGCTGGCCAGCGAGAGCGGCCAAGGATGAACCGAGGATGCGAGGATGCAAGGGGTACCCTTGGGAAGGGTGCCCATCCTTGCTGTGCTGGTTGACTGTAGCCTTAAGTCGGGCCTGTCCCCCTACAGGGGGATTGTTTTTCTTTTATGGGGTATGTTGGGGGCATTTTTTAATTTTCGTCGAAAATTCTCCTGTAGGGGGACAGGCCCGACATAACTGTAGCCCGCGGAGGTCCTGGCGCCACACACTGGGAGCACCGCGCCCTCGCTGCCGCTGCCGCTTGCTGCGCTGCAGTCGAGCTCCGAGCGGCGAGGCTCGAGCGGTCGCCTGCCCGTCCAGGGCGATCCTTCCTCGAGGAGGGGGGAGAGGAGGAGGAGCAGGAGAGAGAGGAGGAGGAAGGGCATCGAGGGGGAGGAAGGAGGAGGGGGGGGAGAGAGGGGGAGGAAGGAGGAGGAAGAAAGGAGGAGGAGCAGGAGCATCGAATCAGAAGTCCGCGCAAGGGCCCCACCAGGGAGCCACAGCCAGGGGCGTGAAGGCAACACTCGAGCTGCTGCGGGCCTCATGCCCACCGAAGGCGGGACGGAGAGATCGGGGAGCACAAGTGATGCAAGCTCACCCAATCGAAACCTGCAGGGCCTGCTGGAGGGCCCTCTTCGGCACGGGGAGGCCGACGAGAAGAACACGGAAGACGAGGGAGGAGGGAGGGGGAGGAGGACAGGGAGGAGGAAGAGGAGCAGCCTTGCTCTGCTCAGAAGAGGCACGAGGCGTCAGGGCATGCCGCCTCGGTGGTGCCTGTGATGAGGAGCGCTCGCGCTCCGCCGTGCCCGCGGAGAGCCGGCCACGCGCGGCGCTGGCGCGGCGAGGCGCCGCGCCCTCGCGCTGGGCACGGAGGCCCCGGCGGCCCAGCGCGGGGGCGGCCTCGTGGTGTGAGCGACACGCGACAGCCGCGATGGCCTCCGAGACTGTGCCGTTCTCGGGCTCGTCCTGTCCACACGAGCGCAGAGCGCAGATGAGATGCAAAAGGAGGCTTCGCGGCATCCGCGCTGGAAGGGCGGCGGCTCTTCTGCGCGAGGGGCAGGTCAGCAGCGAAGCGCGAAAGGCTGGGTGTGCCTCGGCCCTCGCCAAAGCCTGCTGCCTCCCTAGGGGCTTCACCTCACTGCGAGGCATCATTCAGCTTCTGCTCGCGCTTCAGGGCGTCCTCCCACCTCTTCCTCCTGCTCGTGTGCTTGACGTAGTACGCGTACTTGTCCAGCTCGTCCGGGTTGTTCATGTAAGCCTGGAGCTCCTCCGGAGACATCGCGCTCAGAGATTTCGACGACATCGGCTCCAACGTCGTCTCGGTCCCGCTGACCTCTTCCTCCTGCCCCTGGTCCTCGGCGACGGCCACATCCTGGGCCCCGGCGTCGGGCGGCGTCTGGTCCTCTGCGACGGCCGCATCCTGGGCGACTGCAGCGTCGGTCGGTGCCTGGGCCTCGGCGGCCGGCGGCGGCACCACGTCCATGTGGCAGGGCTTGCTGCACCCGCCCGTGCCGCGGCTGTGGAGGATCTCCTGCATCTGCTTGAAGTCGTAGACCTCCGAAGCCGAGCGGTGGAACGACGGGAAGTAGTCCGGGTGCGCCTCGAGACCCTGCGAGAGGGACCACGCCACGACCTCGTGGCAGCGGTCCCCGGGGGCGGCGTCCCTGCACTCGGGCTCCGTGGCCGCCGCCTGCGCCGGCGCCTGCTCGGCCGCGGGCTCGGGCTCGCGGGCCGCCCGGGCCTCCCTCTGCGGCTCGGCGTCCGCGCTCGGCATCTCCTCTGCGGGCTCCTCCTCGGCGGCGGGCGGCGCGCCGGCGGCTGGCGGGGCCTCGGCCAGCGTCGCGTCGTGGGAGGGCTGCGCCTCCCCAGGGGCCGCCGCCGTCAGCTCCGCCTCCAGCTCCGCCTCCTCTGCCGCGGGCGCGCGCAGTGCCTGTGGGGCTGCAAGAGCTGGAAGGCTGGCATGACCACGGAGTGCGGGCAAAAGGTGCCCACGAGCTGGGTCTGGCTTCGGGAGTCGGCCCCCTCCCGCGTCACGTGGGGTGCGGTGATTGGCCCAAAGGGGCCCAAAGGGGTGCTCTACTGCGTCCCATGTGCTCAGTATGCTCAGCTCCAGCCCCGAGGGCTGGCCGACGAATGCCCTGCCCAACGCCCCGGTCCGCTTCTGTTCTGGACAAGATGGGTAGGGAGCGGCGGAGCCGCTTCGAACGTAGCCTCCTCCCCCGCACCGGGAGGAAGGAGGTCGTCCTTGACAGCTGGGCCCTGAAGGACATCCATCTCATCACCCAGTCGAGTGGTCAGCGGGTTTACGCCCATCCGCAGCTGGCACGCTCGGCGCTACTGGAGGAGCGCAACCAAAAAAAACTCACCCAGAAAACTGGACGCCCCTCGGAGCAGTTCGGTCGCTGGGCGGCAGCGCTGGGCTATCGGGCACGCTGGGCAGCGATCTGTGCAGCACGATGCCAGAAGGATCCCATTTGCTCTTCGTGGTAAGCGTCAGCGCACCGCTCTCCGCGACAGGGATCGATCTGGGGCTGATGGTGGGGATGGCGCCCCCCCCAGCACCACACGCAAGTTACGAAACTCGGAGAAGTTCATCCCAAGGGACAACCCCATCCACACTGGGGCAACCGTTGCCCAGCTGGCCGACCTCCCCCCCTGGGGGTGCGCCAGGGAGCGCCACCTTACCTTGTCCAGGTCGGGGTGGGGATGTTGTTGTTGTTACCTGCTCTAAGTGGCCCGGAGGCCCAGCAGTCCGCATCATTAGCCTGCTAAGCTACCTCGAAGCAGTGACGGCCTTCGACGCTGTATCGCCTAGCCGCCACTCTACAAAATCACTCTCGGATCGTCTCCGCGCTTTCTTATCTCTGGCCAGCATCATCCAATCTAGTGATGACTTGTGGTGCTGCTCCTCCTCCTCCTCCTCCTCCTCCTCCTCCTCCTCCTCCTCCTCCTGCTCCTCCTCCTCCTCCTCCTCCTCCTCCTCCTCCTCCTCCTCCTCCTCATCTTCCCAGTGCTGAGGATGTGCCGTCTCCACGAACGGCCTGGCGATGGCGCACCACGAGGGCACGCCCCCCCAGAAAGGGGGATCCGCCCTCTAAGGACCGAGGGCGGGCCGCACATGTCTCCTCGGCGTCCTCCACCTTTTCCCCACTGATATCCGCCTCCTGGTCCTCTATCGCTTCTAACTCATAGATTGAAGTCTGGCATGTCCCCCTACAGTCAAATCTTCGACGAAAAATTTAGAAATACTCAACCAAATATTCAGAAGTGGACAAACAATACCCAAAAAACGTCCCCTGACTATTTTTTCACTGTTTTTGCAGATTCCCCCTGTAGAGGGACAAACCCGACTTAATCATAGATGACTCCCCACTGCCGCACCACCGAACGTGTCTGTGGGCCAAGCCAAGCGCTTCGCTGGAGAATTCCTGGCAACTCACTGTCCTGATGAGAAAGGATGCCACACTTACAAGGATGAACGCCAGTGGCATTCTAAACGGGGCTCTCGCCTCAGCGCCGCGCACAGTCGTTTGAAAAACTCGCACCGGCTACCATACTGGAGGGCCAATGATTTTGTAAAAACGGGGCTCTCGCCTCAGCGCCGCACACATTCGCTACAATGACGGGGGGCCAGTGGCTTTCAACAAGAGGCTCTCGCCTTAGCGCCGCACGCATTCGCCCTAAAGGCATGCAACAGCTAAAATCATGAAGAACGGCTCCTTTTCAAAATGAAGCTCTCGTCCAAGACGTCTTGAAATCTAAGACCAGACGGGTTGACAACAAACAAAGACGTATACGTATAGCTATCTACATATATATACACCTATATATATATGTGTGGAATCAGCACAGGCGGAGGGCGGCTCGTTTCCAAAGTGCGGCCCTTCGTATCTGACCCCCTAGAATTATGAATTTGATGACAAGAAGCATACTTGCCCTGGCGAGGGCACCGCGGCCTCCGGCTTCGCCTCCTCTGCGTCTGACGCTGGGGCGGGCTGCGACTCCGGGGCGGCCGCCGCCGGTGCGGCCCCCTTCTCCTCGCGCCGCTGCCACCACGACTTGCGGCCAGCGGCTGCATCCTTTGCGTCCATTGCGGCAGCCGCCAGGTCTTGCAGGCGATGGATCTCCTGCGTCTTGAGCTCCGCTTCCGACTCGTCGGCTGCCTGCAAGTGCTGGATCTGTGCGCGCTTTTCTGCGATCAGGTTCTGCGAGGCGGGGGAGTCTTCCATGGACTCCAGCGCCTTGAGCTCTGCCTCCAGCTTCTGACGTCTCTGCTGGTCTTGGAGCTGCTGTGCCTTGAGCTTCGCCTTCAACTCGAGACCTGCCCTCAAATTGTGGATCTTCTCGCGCTTCTCCGCGAGGCGCGTCTCAAACGCCGGGGAGTTGGTGTCCATCGCGCGGAGCTCCTCTTCCAGCTTGCCGATCAAGTCCAACGATTCCATATTGCAAGGCTTGCCGCACCCTGCCTTGTTGCGACTGTGAAGGATGTCCTGGACCTGCATGAAATTCTGAACGTCCGAGTCCGAGCGTTTGAACGACGGGAACCACTCTGGGTGCTGCTCGACGCCCTTGTCGAGGGCCCACGCCACGAAGTTGTGGCAGCTGTCCCCGGGCACGGCGTCTAGGCAGGCGTCCGCTGGCTCGGCGCGCAGCGAGATGGCCTGGCACTGCCTGGTCAGCCCCAGCAAGATGATCGGCGCCGCACGTGCCATCACAATAAGTGTAGGAAGTGAAAGTGGCAACAAGTGTATGCGTACTGCTGCCAGAACGCTTGGCACGGATCGCGTGACCCAAAGTGACAGGAGGAGGAGGAGGAGGGGAGGAGGAGCGCCCGATAAGAGGAAGAACGCCTTGGACAGTTCGGGCGTGAGTTTGGGGCGGGGGAGAACTGCGGTCGAATGACGAGACGGCCCACCACTACAACGCGGCATCGACGACGAAACGACAGCGCGGCATCGCACTTGAGAAGGACCCGTCGAGAGAAAGCATGAGGACTGGCGGTGCTGATAGTGGGCGGCGGCGGCAGAAATATCCCGACACTGCACCGACACCGGCCTTGGCCAGGCCCGGCCGCCACCCGGAAAGGGCAGACCTCAAAGTTGAAGTGGGGCCTTGGTTGCTTCGTGAATTCATCATCCGCGGGTTCATGTCAAAAAAATCGACCCTGGCCCAAGGATTGCAAAAAAACCCTAGGGTTTTTTGTTGCAAAACCCTAGGGTTGTTGTTGCAATCCTAGGTTTTGTTGCAATCCTAGGTCTTTTTGCAATCCTTCTTTTTGCAATCCTTGGTTTTTTTTTGCAATCCTGGGTTCATGTCAAAAAAATCGGCCCTGGCCAGGCCAATTCTGCACCCGCGACCAGCAGATACTCCCTCCTGCCACCAGGCTGGCCAAGAGGGCACCCAAAGCGCCCGTGATCGGGGGCCCAGGCTCGGCCCGGCCATGACCTCGGGGAGCAAGCTGACCCAACATACCGACGTCGCTACTCTCAGGTCGGGCATGTCCCCCTACAGGCGAAAATTTTGGACGAAAAATCGAAAATACTCAAAAATACCCCCAAATAGTCAAAAATAATCGAGAATTGTTCCCATATTATCTTTTTGCTATTTTTGAATATTCCTCCTGTAGAGGGACACGCCCGACTTAACGCGAACCTCCCCAGGCCTGTCCCCGGGGTGCGCTGTGACCAGGATGCCGAGGGGCAGCCAGGCCCACCGAGGAGGAAACGAGGGAAGAGCATCGGCGCCGGTGCTTATGATCTCCTCCTCTGGATGATCGGTGCACCCTGAGATCCAGGCGACTCAATTTTTGCTCCAGCCAGGCGTTTTCGGGTAATTAATTTCAGCCCCAGGGACCCTCACGGGTCGATCCGGCATGAAAAATGGCGCCGAAAGATAGGGTCTAGGTCTCCAGGCTCGAGTTTCTACGGCGTCTCAATTTTTGGGAGGCGTCGGATCTCAGGGCAGGTGTGCAGCCGGCGGGGCGACCTCCTCCCGCAGCGGCAGCAGCGCGGTCGCCGGCACTGGCGGAGGGGGGCCGCCAGGCGCGGCGTAGACGGCGGCCACCTGCAGACAGCCCACGGAGAGACGCGCGCGCCCGGCCGTGCAAGCGAACGCGTCCCAGGGCCGCGAGTCCAGCCTCGTGTCCTCCTCCTCCACCTCCTCCTCCTCCTCCTCCTCCTCCACCTCCTCCTCCTCCTCCTCCTCCTCCTCCTCCTGCTCCTCCGCCTCCTGGTCCTCCGCCTCCTGGTCGTCCGCCTCCTGGTCCTCTTCCTCCTGATCCTCCTCCTCCTCCGCCGCCTCCTCCGCCGCCTTCTCCACGGAGTCCACGAATGCGAGCGCTCGCAACCACGCACACTCTCGAATCAGGCCCCACGGCCAGGAGCGTGTGCTTCTCTTCGCGGCGCTAGCGGACACGAGCGCGACCGCAGCACGGGCAGGCCGCGCCGGGCACTGGGCGCACCGGGGCGGGCGGCAAAGTGCAGACGGCCGCGGAGGAGGCGAGGGGGGGAAAGCAGGCCCTGGCCGCCGAGAGTTGGCGGAGATCGGGCGCCAGCCGGCGGGCACCCGAACACCCGTGTGGAGCTGGGGTGTGCGGGCAGCGCAGGCTGCCGAAGCAGCAGGCGGAGAGGCGCCACCGCGGGGCGAGCCACCAGCGAGCGCGCCGCATGCAAGCCGTTCGCGTACACGCGCGCGCCCTCCTCTGGCTCCTAAGCCTGCGGGGGCGCAGAGGAGGCGCAGCACGCCCACGCCTCGCGGCGCGAACGCAGGGCACGACCTGCGCCCCGCTCTCTCTCGCCGCAGGCAGTGCGCTCGCGCGCGGGAGTGAGCTCCCTCGATGAAGGGGCCCAAGGACACACAAATAAATACAAACAAATCTCAAGATTTCCCATGTTCCCCACCTAGGCTCTGCCTAGAAGGGTTCTTACTCTCTATCTTAAAGGGGCCGGGCAGTGGGCTTCGCCCCGGGCAGTTCCCCCAGGATCCGCCCCGCGGTTCCCCCAGTTACGTCCCCTTAGCTTAGCGTTGCTTATCTCATCTTAGCTTAGCTTATTTAATATTAGCTTAGCTTAGCTTCATCTTAGCTCAGGTTTATCGTTGCTTAGTTTACCTTAATATTAGCTCCGCTGAGCTTTAGCATAGCACAGCATAGCATAGCACAGCGTAGCATAGCATAGCGCAGCACAGCATATCATAGTATAGCCCAGCATTGCATTGCATTGCGTAGCGTAGCATAGCATAGCATAGCATAGCATAGCGCAGCACAGCACAGCATAGCACAGCGCAGCATAGCACAGCATAGCATAGCAGAGCAGAGCAGAGCATAGCATAGCAGCAAATCAAAGGCAAAGCAACAGCAGCGACAGCAAAGCAAAGCACAAGCAACGCAAAGCAAAGCAAAGCAAACGGAACAGCAAAAGCAAATGCAAGCGCAGCATAGCATAGCATATCATTGCATAGCATAGCATAGCATAGCATAGCATAGCATAGCGCAGCATAGCAGCATAGCATAGCATAGCATAGCATAGCATAGCATACCATAGCATAACATAGCATAGTATAGCATAGCATAGCGCAGCATAGCATGGCATAGCATAGCATAGCATAGCATAGCAACTAATGCTGCTTTCCTAGGTAGGGTCGCACTGGGGCAATTTCCCAATATTTTCTGGGCTTTCGTTTTCCCCCCCACTTCTCATATATTCCATATTTTCCTGGGGATCGACGATTCATTGTGCCTGTGTTTTTTCCCCTCCTGACTCGACGCCGTCGGCGCTCCCCAGATCTCCGACGGCATGATCCTTTCGATCCCGGCGGTGTTCCTCGATGTTTCGGCCTCGATTTTTCGGCCTCTGGAGCGCCCGAGGTCGGGCCATAGGGGGCTATCAAGAACGGATCTGGGACGAAAGACTGTCGTCAGTGGTGGGCCTTTTTTCCACCACCACCACCACCACCACCACCACCATAAGTTGGAGGGGGGCGGGAGGTGGAGGAGGAGGGGGAGGAGGAGGAGGAGGAGGAGGAGGAGGAGGAGGAGGAAGAGGAGGAAGAGGACCCCCTCCCCCTCCAACTTCTGGTGGTGGTGGTGGAAAACAGGCCCACCAGTCAGGGCAGCGGTCAAAGGCTCCTGGGGCGCGGACCGAACAAATGCACACCCTCGGGCCTGGGCCGGGGGGAGCGAGGCCGGCTGCACGCAGGAGCGCCCCTGGGCAACGGGGACCTCAGGTGCGCGGCTTGCCGATCGCTGCATGCGATGCGGCCAGTGGCGGCCCGCGTGCTCGGGCAAGGGCCCCCTCCCCGCCGCACCCCCCGAAACCCGCGCACCAGAGGCCGCCTCGGCGACAAGTCACTCTGAGCGCATGGCCGCCAAGAGCCGGGAGCACGAGGGCTCGGGGCCCCTCTGGGGCCCTCGGAAGTGGCCGAGAGACCGGCGCGTTCCCCCCTGGTGCCGACCGCGGTTCCCTCCGCGTGGCGGAGACCGGCCGCGTTCTCGTCTCTCGAAGAGCGACACGCTTGACGTCGCGGCCCCGCAAAGCTCGAGGAGACCCCAGCGGGCATCAAGGCCAGTGACGTTAGCCGACACGATCGTACAAGCGCGAGGGCCGTCGCCGTCGCTGCTGCGTGAGAGACGCCCTCGGCGTGGGTACCCCACGGCGGCACGCTCCGCTCCCCGTTTCGGCGCCTGGCGCCCCCAGGCAGGATCGGTCAGCAGCGAACTAGAAGATCGGATCGGATCGGAATGCGCGTCGGATCCGGCCGCATCGGCACGGAGTCCGAATTGATTCGGAGCGGCCGTGCCAGGAACAGCAGCGCCGTGCGAGCATCGGGCCGCATCAGGTCGCTCAGACATGGAAGTCGAGTCGGATCGGACCAGCCAGAGTCGACATCGAATCGGATCGAAATAGACCCTGCCCACGGAGGGGCAGGAGCAAGACGGTATCGGTACATGCAGTAAGGCGCGTTTCTCAGAAAGCTGTTCCGATACAAACTTTACCAGGGCCCCAGTTCAGCACGCCGGGACTCTGCGCAGGGTCTAAAATCGCTGAGGTTGGGGACGATAACATCTGCTGGGCTGGGGAAGCACGAGTGGAGGCATGCTGACGTGAGCTGCGGGTGGCTATGACAAAAAGAAACCGGGGCGAGCTCAGGAAGGGGGTTAGCCATGGGGTGAAGTGAGGGCGCCTGTAAGCTTGCCGCGAGCTGACCCTGAGACAGGGACTGGGGATCGGGGAGAATGCAAGGGAGAAAAAGGGGAAGGGCGAGGAAGGAGGGGAGGAGGGAGGAAGAGGGGGGGAGGCGGGGGAATGGGCATCTCCCACGTGCTCCGAGATCTCGAACCTCGTGGGCCGTGACCTCTCTGGTACAGGATGCAGAGGCCTCCAGAGCTGGGACTGGACAACAGCCGCCGACGCTCAGGGGCCTCGGGGCCAATTTAGGACTGCAGCCGGGGAGGCGAGCGGAAGGGGCAGGCTCGGAGGGGTGCCCGGGCCCTCCCCGTGGGTGGGAGGACTTCGATCGACCACCGTGCCAGAGCGTTGCGCCTCGTGGTTCTGTCGTCTCTGCAAGCTCAGGCCGTGGGGCACGGACAAGCGGTTGGCGGCCGCGCAGAATGGGGCGGGGCGAGGGGCGGGGGGAGCCTTCCGAGACGGCAGGGGGCATCTGAAAGGGGCCCGGAGGCCTCGCTAAGAAAACTCGTTAGGAAGCAGGAGGGCTTCCAGGAAGGCCCTGGCCCTTCTGAGAAGGCCGCCCCCCTGTCGGGGGGAACGATAGGGGGGGATAGCCAAGGGTAGGGTAGAGAATCAGCTCACGCAGCTGATTTTCCCAGCGCCTCCTGGCGCCGGGAGGCGCCCATCTATCGGGGAATGGGCCCGGCGGCGGGGCCGAAACCAGCTGCATGCAGCAGATTTCGTACCCCCCCCCCCTTTCCCTATCCCCCCCTCTCGTTGGGCCCGACCCTGGCGCCGCAAACCCCTGGCGCGCGCTGACAACCCAGGAGAGGCGCGAGGAGACCGGCAGTCGGTCCCGAGCGAGCCTCTTCGCCGATGCCGTTCCGCTGCAGGTGGAACAGGCCGCCGCAGTTCTTGCACGCGCAGACCATCCGACGGCGGGCGGCGGCCCAGCGGCTGAAGTAGGCGTGGCGGTGCCTCACGAACGGCCAAATCGCGATCTCCACCTCCTCGGCGGACAACACCTCACATAGCTTGCCGTCGACGAGGGCAAGCTGCTCCCGCGCCTCCTGCTGGGAGGGGAGGAGGCTGCCACTCAAACACGACACGTCGCTCGGGGAGCACCCACGACCGAGGACAGAACCGCCAGCCCACAGAGGCCACGCACCGCGAAGTAGCCAGGGGCACCTGCAGGGCTTCTTCGGCATCTCTCGGGGGCCTGGTCGGGGGGTCTGCGGTGTCCTGGGGCCGTCCTGGGAGGGCCGGGTCTCGGCGCCGTTGCGGAGCCGCCCAGGGCTGCCCTGGAGCGATCGCCAGGCTGGTCTCGGGCTGCGTTTGGGCCGCATGTGCCATTGCACCGACCCTGCAGAAGTGCTGCAGCGGATTTTTGCGTGGATCTCTGTCAGTGCAAAGCCCCGAAACGGCGAGCGAAAAATTAACATAATTACCTAACAGCGAAGACTGTTAGGATTCTAATGGTCTCAAAAGAAAGCATCTTGACTCCTCAGGGGGGTCTGGGCAGATGCCGGACGGGTGCCGGGGAGAATCCGCGGAAGTCGTTTTAAGCAAGCAGTTACACACTTCGTGGTCTTCCAGGTCCCAGAACTCCATTCCTGGGCATGATTTGGAATGCCCGGAGCCAACTGTAGGCCACTTCGTGGTCTTCGAATTCCCAGAACTCCATTCCTGGGCATGATTTTGAATGCTCGGAGCCAACTGTAGGCCACTTCGTGGTCTTCGAGTTCCCAGAACTCCATTCCTGGGCCACATTTTGAATGCTGAGGCAGGCTGAGGCTGAGGCTGAGGCAGGCTGAGGCTGAGGCTGAGGCTGAAGCAGGCTGATGCTGAGGCAGGCTGAGGCTGAGGCTCAGGCTGATGCAGGCTGAGGCTGAGGCAGGGTGAGGCCGAGGCCAAGGCTGAGGCAGACTGAGGCTGAGGCTGAAGCAGGCTGAGGCTGAGGCTGAGGCTGAGGCTGAGGAGGCTGAGGCTGAAGCAGGCTGAGGCTGAGGCTGAGGCTGAGGCTGAGGCAGGCTGAGGCTGAGGCTGAGGCTGATGCAGGCTGACGCAGGCTGAGGCTGAGGCAGGCTGAGGCTGAGGCTGAGGCTGAGGCTGAAGGCTGAGGCTGAGGCTGAGGCTGAGGCTGAGGCTGAGGAGGCTGAGGCTGAGGCTGAGGCTGAGGCTGAGGCTGAGGCTGAGGCTGAGGCTGAGGCTGAGGCAGGCTGATGCTGAGGCAGGCTGAGGCTGAGGCTGAGGCTGATGCAGGCTGAGGCTGAGGCAGGCTGAGGCTGAGGCCGAGGCTGAAGGCAGACGGAGGCTGAGGCTGAAGCAGGCTGAGGCTGAGGCTGAGGCAGGCTGAGGCTGAGGCTGAGGCTGAGGCTGAGGCAGGCTGATGCTGAGGCAGGCTGAGGCTGAGGCTGAGGCTGATGCAGGCTGAGGCTGAGGCAGGCTGAGGCTGAGGCCGAGGCTGAAGGCAGACTGAGGCTGAGGCTGAAGCAGGCTGAGGCTGAGGCTGAGGCAGGCTGAGGCTGAGGCTGAGGCAGGCTGAGGCTGAGGCTGAGGCTGACTGCGACTGCCGTTGCCACTGCGACTGTCATCGCGAATGCGACTACGACTGCGAGAACAGCAGAATTCTACAACTGGATTCTCATCTGAATCTTAAGGGGAATGCTTCCAAATATGCTCCTACAAATCGCTGTTAGGTTGCTTTGCCGGGATAATTTCGCGTGGATGTTTTGAAGTCTTCGTTCTTGGCAAAAATATCCGCGCCTAATCCACCGCGAAAATCGAAACGGAATTATCCGAGACACCCGGGGCCCACCCTATCGTTTTCCGGACGACATCCGCTCTGCGAGGTTGGCGCCATGACATGGGGTGCGCTGACGAACCCAAACTTCTCACGACGCGGACCCAGAGAGGTCCCGACGGCCCCTTCCGTGGGGCCAGCTTCTCATATCAAGAGTGGGCGTTTCGACGGCCCTGGCGCCCAGCGAGGGTTCCCACCACAACCGCATGTCATGTTTTTCCCAACCATCCTGTGGTGTTGGGTCCTCGTTTTGAAGAGAGACAGCGCCCCGCGTCTCTCCTCCTCATCCTCCTCCTCCTCCTCCTCCTCTCCTCCTCCCCCTCCTCCCTGCTCCCCCTCCTTGCCTCTGCCCTCCGCATGTCTCTCTGTCGGCACACCCCTCACACGTTTCGTGGCCCCATAGCGAGCTCCAACTACGGTTCCAGTGGCGCAGCTCGCATGGTGCCACCGCCCCATTTTGGCACACCCCTCACACAGTTCGTGGCCCCATAAGGGAGCTCCACCTAAGGTCTCAATGGCGCAATTCGCATGGCATCCCCGCCCCATGTTGGCACACCCCTCACACGTTTGGTGGCCCCATAGGGTGCTCCACCGAAGTTCCCGTGCTCCCTATGGGGCCACGAACAGTGTGAGGGGTGCGCCAGAACGAGGCGGGACCGCCGTGCGAACCCTGCCACTGTGGCCTTCGGTAGAGCCCCCATGTGGGGCCACGAACCGTGTGAGGGGTGCGCCAAAATGGGGCGGGGCCGCCATGCGAACCCTGCCGCTGCGGCCTTCGGTGGAGCTCCCTATGGGGCCACGAAACGTGCGAGGGATGCTCCAAAATGGGGCTGGGCCGCCATGCGAACCCTGCCATTAATGCTTTCGGTGGAGGTCCCTGTGGGGCCACGAACCGTGTGACGGGTGCCCCAAGATGGGGCGGGGCCGCCATGCGAACCCTGCCATCGGGGCCTTCGGTGGAGCTCCCTATGTGGCCACGAACCGTGTGAGGGGTGCGCCAAAACACGGGGCCGCCAAGCGAACCCTGCCATTGGGGCCTTCTGTGGAGCTCCCTATGGGACCACGAAACGCTGTACTGGGTGGGTGAAGCGCAGGGAGGAAAGAGGAGGGGGGAGGAGGAGAGAAGGAGGAGGCGGGAGGGAGGGAGGGACGCGGGGCGCTGTCTCTTCAAAACGAAGACCCAACAACACAGGTTGGTTGGGAAGGAAGGGAAGGAAGCGGGCGCGATCCTCGTGAGGAGCGTGCCGACATGGGCGTCGACATTCATGCGCGTAGACTGATTCGCGCGCAGACTCATTCACAGTCAGACTCACCCGCGCTCAGGCGCACCCGTTCTCCGTCTCTCGCACTCAGACCGACCGTCTTCGTTCGGATTCTGGACCCCGACACGCATTTCGGCGCGCCCCCTCACACGGCTCGTGGCGCCATAGGGAGCGCGAGCGAAGATGATATTCACAATTGCGGCATTCACAACTGCATATGTTTGGGTCTTTCGCCAGGCTGATTTAGTTCACGGCGCGAGGAGGTGGGGCTAGTCCAATCCCCCGAGGCTGCGAGAGGCTCTCCACATCCACGCCTCTCTCTGAAGGGGAACGTTCGGGGGGGGGGGGCTGGCTGAGGGGGGAAACATGGACCTGGAATCGGCGATGCATCGCCGATAGATCGGCGGCAGTATCCCGCGAAACCATACGCTCTTGGCGGGGTAGGCTGTCAGGCTCCCATCGTCGATCAAGGGGCGATTGGGGGTCGATACGTCCCCGCCTGAGCCTGTCCCCCCCCCAACGTTGCCCCTGATTGCCACTCGTTTGAGCCAGCCTCTGCGAGCGCGTGCCCGTCTCCCCCACCTGTCGGCCACACCTGAGGGCACGGCCCAACCCGTCGCTGACTCCGACCCGATCTCACCAGCCCATCCTGCTTCGAGGCTGGCATCGAACCGTCCAACCGCCGAGCACTGAGGCGGAGGAGAAGCAGGAAGAGGATGCGGAGGGGGAGGATGCTGAGGAGAAGGAGGCTTTCGGGGGGCGGGGGGGCAGACCCAAGCACGCAGGCTGCAGCTGCCGCGACGCGCTCAGCTCGCTCGGCGAGCGCCCGCTCTCTCGGCCAGCGTTCCACAAGGGGGACAGCGCAAAGGTGGCGGCCGTCGGCGACGATGACGACGACGACGAACGACGACGACGACGACGACGACGACGATGGCACGCGCGCGCATGGCGGACGGGGCCTCATCCTGCTGCGGCGGAGCGAGTCCGCCAGCAATGGTCCGCATGCACCGGAGCGCCTCCGCGCGCCCAAGGCGTGAGGTCGTCGTCGTCGTCGCGGACGCCGCCGCCGTCGCCGTCGTCGCCGTCGGCGTCGTCGTCGAGCGCGTGGTCGTCGTCGTTTTCGCCGCCGCCGCCGCCGCCACCGCCACCACCGCAACCGCAACCGTCGTCGTCGTCGTCGTCGGCGGCGGCGGCGGCGGCGGTGGCGGCGGCGGCAAAGGGGGGAGGGGGAGCCCGAGAAGCCCCGAGACACCCGAAAGTGCAGCTCGAAGCCCTCGAAGCTGATGAGAGGCCCGATGGGGCCCAGTAGCAAGTGACCAGAATAGACACGGAGTACCGAAATCAATGAAACAAATTATCCCGGCAAAGCAACCTAACAGCGATGTGTAGGAGCATATCTGGAAGCATTCCCCTTAAGATTCAGATGAGAATCCAGTTGTAGAATTGTGCTGTTCTCGCAGTCGTAGTCGCATTCGCGATGACAGTCGCAGTGGCAACGGCAGTCGCAGACACAGCCTCAGCCTCAGCCTGCCTCAGCCTCAGCCTCAGCCTGCCTCAGCCTCAGCCTGCCTCAGCCTCAGCCTCAGCCTGCTTCAGCCTCAGCCTCAGTCTGCCTTCAGCCTCGGCCTCAGCCTCAGCCTGCCTCAGCCTCAGCCTGCATCAGCCTCAGCCTCAGCCTCAGCCTGCCTCAGCATCAGCCTGCCTCAGCCTCAGCCTCAGCCTGCAGCCTCAGCCTCAGCATTCAAAAATGGGTTGGGTGACTGGGAACGAAGACACGAAGTGGCCTACAGTTGGCTCCGGGCATTCAAAATCATGGCCCGGGAATGGAGTTCTGGGAACTCGAAGACACGAAGTGGCCTACAGTTGGCTCCGGGCATTCAAAATGTGGCCCGGGAATGGAGTTCTGGGAACTCGAAGAGCACGAAGTGGCCTACAGTTGGCTCCGGGCATCCAAAATGTGGCCCGGGAATGGAGTTCTGGGAACTCGAAGAGCACGAAGTGGCCTACAGTTGGCTCCGGGCATTCAAAATGTGGCCCGGGAATGGAGTTCTGGGAAGTCGAAGAGCACGAAGTGGCCTACAGTTGGCTCCGGGCATTCAGAATGTGGCCCGGGAATGGAGTTCTGGGAGGTCGAAGAGCACGAAGTGTGTGACTGTTGGCTTAAAACGACTTCTGCGGCACCCTGTCCGGCACCCGCCCAGACCCCCCTGTGGAGTCATCTGCTGCTCTCTTTCGACCCCACTAGAAACCTATCAGAACAAGCTGTTAGGTAAAATTCTAAAGACGAATCCAACGTGACAAGGTACGAAAGACAGATTGATGATGGACGTCGAAATGCTTCCCATTTCCAATCTCGAAGTGTGGAGCACACTGCAAACGGATGTCTCTGACGGCTGCTGTGAGCCTGCCGGTGCCCGCGTAGAGCTCGCAAAATGCCCGGCGTCGGACGTGGCCCCGACGAGGCGCCTCGGCCGCGGTCGGGCGCGGGAGCTCCGCCCGCGGCTGGGGCCGAGCACGCCGGCTCGGCTGCACGCGCGGCGGGGCCCGCGGGGCAGCGCGAGGCGGCTCGGGCGCTGGGTGCCTGGCGGGCGCGCCCGCCCGACGGGGCCTCCGCCGCGCGAGGGCGCCGACCCGAGCCAGACGCGCGGCCGCCTCGCCGGGCGAAAGGCCGGCGGCTGGCCGGGCGCTGGGCGGCGCGCGCGGGCGGGAGGCCCCGGAGGCACCGCCGCCAGCCCGGCGTTGGCCGACTCGATGTCGGCCAGGGCGCGCTGGCAGCCACGCTGGGGGTGGTCAGGTAGGACGTGCCCCAGGTCAGCTGCACGGCTGTCGGCGTCCGTAGGGTTGCGGCCTGACTCGCAGTAGCGCTGCTTCCCCTGGATCTCGCACCCGATCTGCCAGGCGGCGCTGACCAGGCACAGCTGAAGGAGGGCCTTGCCCCAGGCGCGCCCCTTCTCGAAGCTGAGGAGCGCCGCCATGTTGTCGCCCAGGCCGCCGACGCTGAGTCCGCGCATACGGGGGCCACGCGAGGCACGACCAAGGCCCAGGAGCTGAGCACGAGCTTCCTTCACGTGGATGGAGGCTCGGCACCGGAAGGCGCCCCGCACGATCATCTTCCAGCGGCTGCGGACGAGTCGCCCAGGGCTGGCACGGCACCCTGCACAATGACGGCCCTCGCGCGAGGGAGGCGCCGGTCGATCACCGACGCCTTGGAGCAGGGCGCCAGGAGGCCGGCGACGAGCAGGTCGGAGGTGGCCGCGGGCTCGGGGGCCCAGCCGCGGACCCCGTCACGCGGGGCCCCAGGCGCGACCAGCTCCTCCTCTGCCATCTTGAACCTCCAGCGCTTGCGGTACTTGAAGGCCTGCATGACCTCGTCGTCGGCGCAGGCCGTTTCGTGGAGGGCGTAGCCGCCGTTCCCCGCGACGGCGAAGGGCCAGCTCGTCCAGTCGCGCAGCTCGCCGCCCGACGCGTCGCTGCAGTAGGCGACGCGCGACCAGGGGGCGGCGAGGTCCACGTCGGCTAGCATCAGCAGGCCCTTCACCACGCGGAGCTCGTCCAGCAGGTGGCGGCCCAGGGGGGCCCGCTCGTCCAGGCGCTGGGCGATGAAACGGCACCCCTCATCCAAAGCCGCGAGCGCCGGCCGCGAGCGCCGGCCGCAGGTGGTTGACCAGGTGGCCATACACGACACGGAGGGCACGGCCTGAAGCACGACGCACCCGCAGGAGGTGCTCCAGACCAAGGTAAAGGCGCCAGGCGCGGGCCTCCGCATGGCGGAGGCGGCGTGCGGTCGTGTCGAGTACGACGCCGACCGTGGTGCATAGCTTCGCGGGCTCCACCAAGTCGTGGTAGTCGATGCCCAGGTAGTCCAGGACATGCTGAATGCCGCGCAGCGCGTGCTCGGTGTCACTGAAGTGGAGGCCGATGACGTTGGCGTCGTCCACGTAGGGCTGGGACAGCGGGCGGCCGGGCGCCTGCAAGGGCGCGGGGCGCCGCTCGTGCACCAGGCGGCTGCCGTCAGCGCATCCCAGGCTCAGGAGGCCCTTGCACTGGGCCTCCCCCAGGAGATCTCGGCAGAAGAACAGCGACCACGACCAGCCCATCAGGACGCCCCGGAAGACCGCGAAGATCCGGGCGTCGCTCGACACCTGGACGAAACGGACGTCGGCGGGGATGCACACCAGCGGGTCGCCGAAGTCGGGCGCGGCCTCCGGGTAGTTGAACCCAAACCAGTCCGCGAGGTCGTCGTTCGCGAACTGGCAGAACCCGCCCTAGAGGTCCAGGCCCGCCGCGTAGACGTCGGCCGCCAGGGGGTCGACGCCCTGAAACCGCAAGGCCTGATCCGAAAGGTCGAGCCCCGCGAGGGCCCCGGCGGACCCCAAGGCAGCGCGGGGCGGCCTCCTATGGAGCGAGGAGGGCCCCCGGCCATCCAGGACGAGTCGGAGCGACCCGTCCTTCTTGCCCACGCAGAAGGCGCCGACGCGGCCACGGATGGAGAGCCCGAACCCGACGAGGCCCACGGAAGCGAGGCGCTTGATGAAGTCGATCCTGGCCCGGCGGTTGTTCTTGAGGATCGGGTCCCAGTACGGCGCGATGGGCTGGATCAGCTCGCTCTCCTGGAGGGCGCCCAGCTCGGCCTCAGTCCTGAAGATGAGCTCGTCGGCGTTGTCAAGATACCTCCGGCCCTGTCCCCAGGCAGCCGCGGAGCTCCTGAGGGCGACGGTCACGATGGAGTACATTGAGGAGGTCGGGGTTGCACGGCTTCAGGTTCATCGGCTGCCCCGAGTACAGGTCGTGACTCTTGATGAGGTCGGCGTAGGCGGTAGAAGGCAAGATGTCGGGCCGTTCTCCGTGGTTCTCGACGCGCCGGCTGACGCGCGCGATGATCGAGCGCTGCGCCTCCGAGAGGCGGCGGCTCGAAGAAGGCCGGTGCGCCCGAAGGGCGCGCGATGGGGCGTCGAGGGCGCTCAGCGACCAGATCGCCTCGCGCACGCACCGCGCTCGCGACCGCGACGCAGGCCCAGCACGGCCCTCGGCGGGATCGGGCCGAAGGGCCGCCACCAGCATCGTCGGACCGCCGAGCTCGCCCGCGCCGCCACTCACGTCGGGGCGCCCACCGCCCAGGCAGGTCGCCCACGAGGAACGTCAGCACGGAGAAGGCGACAAGAGGGGCGCCCGAGCAACAAGCGTTGTCGAGGCAGGCGCCGCCAAAGGACCTGCCCCGTTGACCCGGGCGCCTCGGGGCCAGAGGCCCCTACTCGGGAGGGGTCGGGGCCCTTGCCGCCACCGCGCCTGGGCCCTTGCCGCCCTTGCCCTTGCGCTTGGCGCGGTCGAACCCGCGCCCCTCGCTCCAGAGCCGCTCCTGCTTCATGATCTGGGCTTCGTCGCGGCGGAGCGAGGAGACCCACTTGGAGAAGGTCGGCAGCTGCATGCGCCCGTCCTCGGCCATCGGCGCCGCGAAGATGCCGCCGATGTTCGCGAAGTCCGGCACCTTGGGGTTCCTCCTGACCGCCGACTCCACCTCGTAGAGCCAGCGGGCGAGGTGCTCGATGACCGCGCAGTTGGCGAAGTCGAGCTGGTCGTTGCAGATGGCCTGGTCGAGGCCCTCGCAGATGCGGCGGTGCGTCCTGCAGACGCCCGACGTGGTGCTGACCCCCGACTTCGTCCTCCAGTCGAGGTGGTGCGTGATGAACACGATCCCCGCGGCCACGAGCGCCATGACGAGCTCGGGAGCGCAGGCGTCGCCGCGGAAACGCCAACCAGGCCGAAGGGCCTTGCTGCTGGCCCGCGCCGCGGCGGTCAAGGAGAGCACAGGCACCCGTTGACGCGCTCGTCGCCCAGGATACGCCTATCGCGGCCAGCGCCCGTCGACTTGAGGAGCCGCCAGTTGTCGAGGTCCTCGTCCAGCACCCTCTCGACGGCGACCCAGTCCTCGTCCACGCAGGCGAGACCGCGGTCGCCACGGATGATGAGGCTGTCCCCGTCGGCGAGGGCCGCGGCTGGGAGCGCGTCGCCGAAGCCCGGGTGGGCTGGGTCGGCGATCAGCCACAGCCCGCCCTCTGGCTGCGCGTCCGCGCCCCCGGTGAGCCCGTAGACGGCCAGCAGCTCCTTCGCCTCCTTGCGGACCTGCTGGAGCTCCTCCGGGGTCAGAGGGTCGAAGGCGTAGACCTCGCCCCTGGCCCGCCGAGGGAACTCCGAGTCCCGCGTGAGCGGGATCACCCGGTGCGTCGTGACGTCGATGAACTGGATGTTCAGATCTGGCGTCGAACAGATCCACTGCCCAGGATTCGGCGCGGCCAGCACCAGCAGACGAATGTGCCATCGGAACCCGTTGGGGTCGTCGAAGAAGTCTACCAGAATCTGACGTTCTGGCACGTCAAGCGTGCGGGCTGACATGCCGCCTCCTCAGCGAGGAGCGCGTCGCCTCCGAGAGCCCCGCAGGGGCGACGGCGGCGGCCGGCGGCTCGTCCGCCAGGGCCGGCGCGTCGGCTGGACGCGCTCGGGGAGCCACGAGGGCCCAGGCGGAAGCCACCGCCGCCCGCCAGGCGGCGCGGGCGAGCACGCTGAGGAGCACGCCCGCGAGGAGGCCGAGCAGGAAGAGCCACCAGCCTCCAGACCCGCCCGCGCAGGACGCTGGCTCCGGGCACGGCCCCGCAGGCGGCGCTTGAGGTCTCCGCGGGGCGGCCGGCACCTCCGGGGGCGCGGCCGCCGAGAAGGCCCCCACGGGGCAGGGCGGGCACGGCGGCGCGGCCGGGCACACAACCTGCGCGCAGGCGAGGTTGCAGCTCGGGCAGGGCGGGCAGCTCGCCGCAGCAGGGCACCGCCCGAGGTAGCCGAGAGCGAGGCTGGCGCCGCGATCCGCCAGCCAGGGCCACATGGAAGGCGCGAGCGCGGCCCTCTCGAACTACAGAGCTAAGGAAACGACATCCTGTCGAGCGGTCGCCCTCGAGAACACAGCAAGAGATGTCAGGGACAGAACACATATATATATATATATATATGTATATATATATGCGTGAAGCAAACTATGCGGTGCAATCTACGTTGTTCAGTATATATATATATATATACTAGAACCACGCGCGCGCTTCGCGCGCTTAGGTTCTAATCGACCCCATCCCTTGAGGAGGTCCCGTATCCACTGAAGTGATTACCCATTGATGGTGCAAGCATGAGGTACACGAAGCATCCGTAATGCTGGCCGAACAGAGCCCAAGCACCGACAATGACATATTCTCCTTAATCCGCCGACCCTGTCGGCGTGTGTGAGGCGCTCTTCCGTTTGTCGTCGTCGGTGTCGTCGTCGACGTCGCCGTCGTCGTTGTCGTCGTCGCCCTCGCCATCTTCCCCCTTTCCCCGGGCCCTCTTCCTCAACCGATCCAGCCAATACAAAATCGAATCGAACAACGAAGGGAAGCACCTTCCCTTGATCCCTTCTCCAGCGGGGGGGGGGTCCCGGGGCAACTCCCGGGGGGTGATCCCGGCGGGTGGTCTCGGGGCTGTTATTGTTTTGCCGATCCCGAATATTTGGCGGAGGGTCCCCGGGACCCCCCCAAGAACCGGGGGGAGAGAGCCTCTCCTCCCTTCCCCCCAGCGTCCCCGCTTTGCCCCCCCTTCCAAGCGTCCCATGCTCCCCCTGTCCACAGGAGGGAGCCCCCCCCCCCCAAGGGGCCAGTCCCCCCCTCCACAGGGGGGAGCGACCCCCCTTGGTCGTCGTCATCGTCGTCGTCGTCGCCGCCGTCGTCGTTCAGGGTCGGCGGCACCGGCAGTAAGGCCTCCAGTATTCAATTCGAAGCTATGCAAGCCAGTTTAGCCAAACACATGCAAGGCTATGAATGCAATGCAAAGCAAAGGAAAGCGATGCTCATGAGTGCAATGTGGATCACGAAACAATGCAATTGCACATGCAACGGAAAGCAGCCCAGTGGAATGCAATGCAATACAATGCACGATAAGACAAAAGACCGAGAGAGTCCGAGGCGTCACGGAACTCAGAGATCCCAGGGACGAGCCGCCCTGGGAAGAGCCCAAGAGGACCCCAAGGGGAGCCCAAGACAGGGTCAAAGGGCACCCAAGAACATCCAATGAGTTCTCCGAGAGAGGCTAAGGGGGGCCCAAGCGTGGCCCCGAAAGAGCTCCAAGCAGGCTCCAGAACGAAGCACAGGAGGGCCCCAAGAGGCGCCCCAAGAAAGCCTGAAGATAACGACAGAAAGAGAGGGTCCAAGGAAGTGCCTCCTCAGCGCGACAAAAAAAACGCAGAGGCCCACAATGAGCCCCAAGAAGGGCGTTCTCAACAGCCCCATCCCTTGAGAAGGTCACAGCTCCACTGAAGCAGTGACCCACAACTGGCTTGAGCTCGAGGTAGAAAAGTACCGATCATGCGGATGGAAGCGAGACCTACGGCCCCAGATGAAGGCGGGGTTCACATGGCGCCCCCCCGTCAATTTCGGCACGGCACTCACACGGATCTTGTCCCCCTGGGAGCTCCTCTTTCGGGTCAAGGGACAAAGTTCGCACGGCGTCGCTCCGCCCATCTCGGCACACCCAACACACGAATCGTGCCCCAGAGGGATGTCGTTACACGTACGGCCTTAGTGTGGGGATTCGCATAACGTCACGTCCCCCCCCACGCGTATGTCGACTGTCTCCTCACACGAATCGTATCAACAGGGAGCTCCACCGACGCTTCCAAAGCCAACGTTCGTATCCCGCCGCCCCGCCCATGGCAGTAAATACGCCCCTGACCTGGATCGTGAGTTCGGGGCGTCTTGGGTGCTTCCGTGGGCCACGCGGCATGTTTCTGTGAGGCCTCTGAAGCCCTGAGATGGATCGTGAATCTGGAGCCTCTTGAAGCCTTTTCTGGGAGCCTCGTGCAGGACGTCGAAGCGAGACCTCCCATACGCTTACGGGTGACTACTGGGAAGCCTCTTGGGACCGTTTTGGAGCGTTTTGGGAGTCTCTGGGGGCATCTTGAGACCTTCTTGGGGGTCCTTTTGGGGCTCTTTGGGGCTCTTTCGGGCCCTCTTGGCCCGTCCCGGGGCCCTCTTGGACCGTCTTGGGCGCTTGGGCCGTCTTGGGGCCCTCTTGGGGCCCTCTTGGGCCGTCGAGGGTGCCTCCTGTGGCCCTCTTGGGGCTCCCTGGGGACTCTATTTATTGGGAACCTCTGGGGACCGTCGTGGGCCGTCGGGGGGCTCTCATGGGCCGTGTTGGAGCTCTCTTGGGCCGTCTTGGGGCCCTCTTGGGGGCCTCTTGTGTCGTCTTACGGCCGTCTTGGGGGCTTTTGGGTCCGTCTTGGGCGCTGTTAGGACCGAAGAAGCGGATATGCTAAAAACGTACGTTTTCCGAAAGGAATTTGGCTGTTTTTGCCTTTTGGTGACCTTCTGGGAGGCCTCTTGGGCCGTCTTGAGGGCCTCTTAGGCCAAAAATATAGATTTCCCTATGGTTTGTGAAAGATTCGAATTTCTCGAGGACCTTTTCGGAAGCCTCTCGGGCACCCTTGGGGGTCTCCTGGGCTGTCTTGGAGCGCTCTTGGGGTCCTCTTGGTGCGTCTTGGAAAGCTCTTGGGCCATCTGTAAACAATCTTGGGCGGATTTAGGGCTGCTCTGAGCCTCGGGGCGGGTCCCGGAGGGCTCCTGGGAGGGGGGCACTACCTATGTACAAGGGGGGGGCCCTGCGGGTCCCCGGGGTCGGAATCCCCCATATATGTATATACATACATACATGGATTGTGCAATCGATGCTGTGCAACCGATGTTGCCCAGTAAACCTGATGCGATCTACGAAGCACATCAAATGTTGTGCATTTTTTGTGGAGCAGCCTAGGTGGTACAACCTATGTGGTGCAATCCACTCTGCTGAACTTGAAGTCGTCCTCTCCACTGCTCGCGCAAACATCCCACCTACCCGCAACTTGGTTTGCAAAACCTCTTAAGACCGACTACGACGACACCGACGACAACGACTAGGACGACACCGACGACGTCTCCGACGACTTCGACGACGATTACGACGCCGACGCCGACGACGACGAAGACGACGACGACGACGCCAACGAAGGCGACGACGAGGGAGGAGGAAGGACGACGACGGCGACAACGACGACAACGACGACAACGACGAGGGAGGAGGGAGGACGGCGACGACGCGAACGACGAAGAAGGAAGGACGGCGACGCCGACGACGACAACGACGAGGAAGGAGGGAAGACGACGACGACAACGACGACGACGACGACGCGCGACGAAATAGGAGGGACGACGACGAGACGCCGACGACGGACGACGACGACGACGAGGGGAGGAGGAGGAAGGACGACCACGGCGACAACGACGACGGAAACGACCACGACGCCAAAGAGGACGACGACGACGAACACGAGGAAAGACACAGGACGACGTAGGCGACGACGACGACGACGACGCGGGAGGAGGGAGGACGACGACGACGACGACGCCGCAAGAGCGCACGCGCACGCTTTTGTTGAAAAAATCGTGTGCGAAACCTTGGGTCTGGGTAGGTGTTTTGGACGCACGATTTTGAAAATAAGGTTTTCGGCATACGCCCGCGGGACGACGCGCGCGTCTGCCTTCGTCCCATTTTGCAAAGGATTCTCGCGACGGCACACACGCGAGGGCGTTTTCGAGCAGATTTCGACAGGCGCCGCGGGAAGCCCGTTTGGTAGAATTTTTGTGAAAATCTTGAAAAAACATATGCGTTTTTCTTAGATTTTATCAATCAGAGCTCGCGTGAAGCCGTTTACAAAATCAATGTTGCGGAAACCCTGTGTTTTGTATGTTTTGGGAACTCTATTGCCGAAATCCTTCCGGCACCGAAGGTTATTGAAGGATTTCGGCATGCGCGCGCGACGACGCGCGCGTGTGCACTTCGTCCCATTTTTTGTAAGGGATTCGCGAAAAAGTGTCATGTTAGAACAAAAAATGTCACCGAATAGTGTTTTTTCACAAGGGGACCTCAGGGGGGGAACCCGGCCTGGCTGGGATGGTACGATTTCATATTTAGGATGGACGAGTGTGCAGAATATATATGAAATTGTACTATCCCAGGGGGAACCGATAAGTCCGGGGGGGTAGTCTATTCCTTTTTTAGAAAGGAGAATTAATTTCTGTTCGCAATGAGTTGTCCACTCCACTGCTCGCGCAAACATCCCACCCACCCACCCGCAACTTGGTTTGCAAAATCTCTTAAAACCGTGACGGTGGGTACCAAATGGCACTTGGCAACGACAGCGACGCCGACGACGACAGCGACAACGACGAACGCCCCCGACGCACGACGTCTTTCCAACGACTTCGACGGACACGACAAACGACGACGACGACGACGACGACGACGACGACGACGACGACGACGACACGAACGACGACTACGACGCCGACGCAGCCGACGACGACGACGACGACGGACGATTGACAACGACGACGATGCGACTTTGACGACGACGGCGACGACGACGACACCGACGACGACGACGGACGACGTCAACGACGCGAGCAGCACCGACGACGACGACGACGACGAGGCGGACGACGAACGGACGCCGGACGTCGACGACGACGAAGACGACGACGACTCCCCCTCGCGACGACGACGAAGACGACGACGACTCGCCAACGAAGAGGACGAGGGAAGACCATTCTGCCCCACCGAGTTGCGACGACAACAACGACAACGACGAGGGAGGAGGGAGGACGGCGACGACGCGAACGACGAAGAAGGAGGAAGGACGGCGACGCCGACGACGGCAACGACGAGGGAGGAGGAATGACGACGACGACGACAACGACGACGACGACGACGACGACGGCGACGAAATAGGAGGGACGACGACGAGACGCCGACGACGGACGACGACGACGACGAGGGAGGAGGAGGAAGGACGACCACGGCGACAACGACGACGGAAACGATCACGACGCCAAAAAGGACGACGACGGCGAACACGAGGAAAGACAGAGGACGACGTAGGCGACGACGACGACGACGACGACGACGACGACGATGCAGGAGGAGGGAGGACGGCGACGACGACGACGACGACGACGACGACGCCGCAAGAGAGCGCGCGCACGCCTTTGTTGAAAATCCGTGTTGCGAAACCTTGGGTTGTTGTAGGTTTTTTGAACGCGCGATTTTGAAATCCTTCCTAAACCGACGGGTTTTGAGGGATTTCGGCGTACGCGCGCGACGACGCGCGCGTCTGTACATCGTCCCGTTTTTGCAGAAGATTCTCGCGACGGCACACGCGGAAGGGCGTTCGACAGATTTCGACATGCGCGCGCGACGCCCGTTTGGTAGCATGTTGTGAAAATATTGAAAAACCAATGGTTTTCCATAAAATTTCGCAAGAGCTCGCGCGTAAGTTGTTTTGCAAATCAGTGTTACGAAACCATGTGTTGTTGTATGTTGTTTGGAAAACCGATTGCGAAATCCTTCCGGCACCCAAGGTTTTTGAAGGATTGCGGCATGCGCGCGCGACGACGCGCGCGTGCGCATTTCGTCTCATTTGTTGCAAAGGATTCGTGAAAAAAAACGAATAAACCAGAACAAGAAATGTCACCGCATAGTGTTGTCTGCACAAGGGAACCTCAGTGGGGATACCGGTTGGCCTGGGACATTGCGATGTCATATTTAGGATGGACATGTGGTCGGAATCACATGTGATTTACATACCCGAAAGGTGACTTGATAACGCCAGGGGGGGTAGATCCTATTCTGTTTGTAGAAAGGAGAAATGATTTAAACAAACGAATTGACACATCCCATGTTCTTGCAAACATCCCACCCACCCACCCGCCACGTGGTTTGCAAAACCCATGCGGTGGCGATTGCGATGCATGCTTGGCGTGGGCTACTGCATCTCTGCGGCCGCGTCAACCCTAGCACGCGCGCGCAGCGGCCAGCTAATTTGGCACCACCACCGACGCGGCCGCGGTGGCTGACCGCTGGGCGCATCCCAACGGGCACTGCACTGCGAGTCGGCGACTTGTGCGGGCGCGGTACCATGGCAACGCCGACAACGGTAGTGACGATGATGATAGTAGCGATGCTGGTGGCGATGTTCGCACCGACGGAAGCGCGGCCAGTGCGGGAGCCGATGCTGATCACGCCGACGACGATGACGGCGCCCTCGCGTCGGCGATGAAGGTTTCGGAAACAGTTCGACATGCGCTCGCGGCCGACGCGCGAGTGGCCCGCATGGCTTATCTGACACGGATCGTGCCCCCCCAACGCGCGCGCTGGGGCGTGCGAGTGATGTCGGCATGCGGCGCCAGGGGCCCGCTTCGCAGAATGCCATGAACATGTGAAAATTCCGTGGTTGTCTTAAGAACTCGCAAGATCGCGCGAGCACGCTTGTTTCGAAACCCTGCGCTGCAAAACAACATGTTTTAAATGTGTTTGGACATTCGGTCCTGAAGTCGTTATGAAACAATCGGTTTTTGAAGGGGTTCGGCATGCGCGCGCGACGACTCGCGCGCACGCTCCGTCCCATTTGTTGCAGAGGACTCGCGACGGCACGCGCGCAAGGGTGCCCGAACGACTTCGACCTGCGCGCGCATAAATCCCGTTTGGCCGCGTTTTCTGAAAATGTCCAGAAATCTGCGGTGTTCTGAAGAATTCGCAAAAGCGCGCGCTCGCTGTTTTTGAAAATCCGCGTTGCGAAAGCATGTGCTTTTATATGCTTGCTGGACACTCGATTTTGAAATCCTTCCGAGACCCTTAGGCTGTTGAAGGGTTTCGGCATGCGCGCGACGACGCACGCGTGCGCATGCCGTCTCACGTCTTGCAAAGGGCTCTTGGGATTTATGACGTTTGCTAAACGAATGCGCGCAGATTTTTGGTTGCAGAGGATAACGGGGGGGCCGACACGGGCCCGCCTGGGATGGTACGAGTTCAAATTTAAGATGGACGATGGGGCAGAATCATATGCAAATTGCAATACGAAAGTGGGAGTCGATAGTCCCGGGGGGGGGAGTCTATTCTCTTTTTAGAACGGAGAATTCACTGCCGCTCGCTGGCCATCAACTGCACTTCTCGCGCAACCATCCCACCCTCCCACCCGCAACTTGGCTTGCAGAACCCGTGCGGCGGCGCTCGCGGTGACTGCAAGCTCGCGCGGCCAGGTACTTTCGCGCGACCGACGCGGCCGCGGTGGCGCTGACCGCTGGGAACTCTCCAGCACGTCCCGCAGGCCGCGCTGACGCGCGGGCAGCTCAGTGCCAGTCGGTGGTTTTGGCGGGCGCAGCATTATAGCGACGTATACAACGGCAGACACGATGATGATAGTACCGATGCTGGTGACGATAATGACGCTGACGGCAGCAA